GTGGCAGCGGTAGTGAGGTTGGTCCAGGATCGGACATTGTTTCGTTCTGCTGTGCATGGAGTCGCTATGAGTCGGTTCCTACTCAATGGCACCTGACAACAACAACAACAACATCTTTAAGTTTAGGTCAAGTTCATCAAATTGTAGCAATTTACACTTGTTTCCTTTATCAAATTTTTTTATCTTCCTCTAGTCCAGTTCTGATCATCAAGCCATCAAACCTAGGTCAAATGGGTACTATCTGCAAGTTTGGGCATTCTTGTGCGTCTCCCCTCAGTTCATATTACCTGGATGCTTCACTCTCAGCTCTAGCCCTTGATGACTATGTCCTTGTCCATGGAGTCCTCAGGTCTGACCAATATTTGCACCAACCAGCCATTCATCTTCTCTCTCTCTCATCTCCAGGTCTATAGAACGTAGTCAAACTCAGCACATAACTTCATTGCAGATTTTCCCCCTCTTCCATTCAGCAGTAGACCGACGTGGTCACCAGCAAGCTTACATACCTGCTCGTGTGTTCCCTTTGAGTTTCAGTCTTAGAGCGGGGTTTGTCTTGAAGGGCATTGATTACTGCCTTGATGGCTCCACGACAAATTACTTACTTGTTCTTGTACCCATTTTTGACTTTGATTTTCATGCTGGTCTTTTTTTCAAGTATAGTGTCTTTCTTACATATTTTCATTAAATAGAAAATTATGAACATTGACTATCCTTTCTAAAATTAAGATCAACTTGCGTATATTCAAAAAGGCAAAATTTTAAATAATCACTGAATTCTCACCATCTATTCTTACCACTCCCCAAGTGATAACTAAGCATTTTTCACTTTTGAAAACCATTCTTTCAGACCTCTGGATAAGTTGATATGAGTACATATGTAAGTTTTAGGAGTCCTGGTGTGGCACCCTAGGATAAGCACTCGACCTCAAGGTCTTTTTGAACTGCAAGGTCAGTGGTTCAAACTCACCAGCTGCTCCTCAGAAACCCTATACAGGATTGCTATGAGCTGGAACTGACCTGACGGCACACAACAATAATGTAAGTTTTAAATTTAATTGAGTCGGGGGAAAGCAAATTTTTCTGGTTTATATTAACTGGAGTTAAGAGCAATCTTTTAAATAATATCGATATGAAGTCTGAGGTATTTGATACATGTTGTTGAGTGCCAATGAGTCATAGTGACCTTGTTTCTGAAGAGCTGGTAGTGGGTTTGAACCATTGACCTTGCAGTTAGCAATCTATTGTGTGTGTATCCTATAGTGCCACACCAGGACTCCGTTTATATATTAATGTACGTAAGTCAGTATGTTAATGACATTAAACATGAGAAATCTATTTTTGTTAAAATTGATCATTTTAAAAAAATAATGTATTTCCTGAATTTTTGATGTACTTACTGACTTTTAAAAAATATTAAATAAGCCTACATGATTTATAGTTTATGAAGAAGTCACATATTTTGTTATGAACATAATAGAAATTTTACTTATTTTTATGGGGGAAAAAACAGCTTGAATTTTTATTGGTAGGTGTTAGCTTTTGTGGTATAATAGTAATTCACTTATTATTGCTTCTTTAAATTCCTTAACTGTACGTACATCTCAACTTTTTATTTATCCATCTTCCATTCCTTGCCAATAGTGTTGCCCTTTTCTACAATTTTGGAAAATCTTGGAAATCAGATCCAGGAATTATTAAAGCTACAGAAGAGCAAAAGAAAAAGGTAGCAAGAATGCAGTCTGTGTTTAACTGTCAGATTTACAATCTGTGTTTAATTGACTAACAAGCAGAAATTCGAGTACAAAGGAAGAAATTATCTTTTGGAACATAAAGAAATTTCAAACTAACCTGAGAATATCTATTTCTTATTTAAGCTTACCCTTAGTGCTCTTGTGATGTCTGTCCTTAAACTTCTGTGACATTTTATACTTTCATGCTTCTCTCCCATCCTAGTCTACTGTGATTGCTTTGAGGAACAACCATTTTTGTAACCTTCAACAAATAATATGTATTCAGTAAATGCTTGTTGAATGACTATAGAAACTTGGAAGACCAATGAATAGGTTGATAGTGCAGATTTATCATTCCAGTGACTTAAAACATTTTTATAGATGATTCTGGACATCCCTTTGGTACAACCCATATAGATACTTAGGAAATAAAATTCATAATCTAAAGATGTCATTTGAGTAGAGAATTGAACTAGAGTTAGATTGTCTTGATAAATGTTATATTCAGCCTCTGAAGACCAAACTAATCCTGATAAATGATTCCTGTCCACAGTGGAATAAGTCATTAGCACATTCTTGCAAACTAATCCCTGCACAGAGATTGCAACTCTTAAATTACAATATTCTTCAGTCATTACTGCTAATTGATTTGTGAGGTTTCCTTAGTCATAATCCAGTCTGAGGATTACATTCTTAATTGGATTTAGATTTATTTTCATGTCATCACCATCAGCTTAGTTTCATTCTCAGTGGAGTGTCCCTATAGCTAAATTTGAGGTTTTTCACATATGGAAGAAATACGATTTAAATATATGTATTTTTTGGATCTGTGAAAAGCAAATTGAAATCCAAATTGCTTTTCATATACTCAAGAAATACAATTCCTGTATTGTAATAAAATAGAAGGTAAACAAATAATGAATTTTGTTTATTTTGAGCAGAAAATATTGGTAAGGATGAACATCATGCTTTTTGATTCATATTGGTAACAGTAGTTGATGAGCATTGTCAGATGAAAAAGGTTAATTTTTAAGTAAAATATTGTTATTTTCTAATTCACAGACAATAGTTGAACTTGCAGAGACAGGAAGTCTGGACCTCAGTATTTTCTGCAGTACCTGTTTGGTAGTATTTTCATCTTTATTCTTCCCTCCCTCCTCTTTCCCCTGGCACTGGTATAGCATAGGAGGTATGGGGGACAAAGACACAAAATTCTTGATATTTTTAAGTACCTTTAAACCAGTTCCAACTCAGAGGCCCTGTATAGGATTTCTGAAGTGGGTTGAAACTGCTGATCTTTCAGTTAATAGTATATCTGCTTAGCAGTACAGTGCTTATCCTATAGTGAACACAGTTTCACAAAAACAAAAAACAAAAAAAACTTTTTAAATGGTGGGACTTGAACAAAGATAGTTAAAATGTGAATCCTTTCTGATGGACTTACTCCCTTAGTGGTAAAACATGGCCACACTTCTGATTCAGAGGCACCAGTCATGTACACTAATTTTCATTCTCTTTTACTCTTTTAATATGTAACTCAATAAATTAATACTAATTTCCAAATACATTATTTTCCTAGCTACATTTTAAGAAGATGTATCTTTATATTTTAAAGATCTTAGTAGGAAAATATATTAGATAGCTGTTATGACAACATGTCCTCCAAAGTGGTTCAATTTGAATAATACCTGCCTGTATTAGAGTGTTTATGCAACTTTGAACACAATTCTATCAGTGATACTTACAGTCATCAGTTTTAACCAGGTTATCGATAAAGATACGTATGCAATAGAATAAATATTTATGGAGTCAGGTATAGTGATTTTGACATTGTATCTTATTTCTCATTATCAGTTTTCTATAGAATAATAAATGCTGTTTCAAGTTCTAATTTTCTGATTTTTATAATGAATATATATAAATTCTATAGACTATCACAGCATTTATTTACATGAAAATTGAAATATCCAAAATCATTTCTAAAGCTAAATACGCATTTATACCTTTAAGTTATACATTTCAACTTCACTAATTTCAACATTAGATTAATAATTAAATCGTTTATTTATATTAAGGTTATAGAATAAAGTTTGAAACTTAGTTCTAATTTTATGAGGGCATTTCAAAATGTTCATGGAAAAATTCCATGATCTTTTAATTCTGTTTTTCAACAAACTTTTCAAAGCCCCATCATACACATTCTATAAGTTATTTAATATGCTTTGATTAAACAGGTATGGTTTTGAATATTCAAAAATATATATTATGTTACTTTTGATAATAACATTAGTCTTTTGTATTTTTCAGGGAGCTCTGGTGGTGCTATAGGATAAGCACTGGACTGCTAACCACAAGGTTGGCAGTTCACATCCACCAGCTGCTCCTAGAGAGAAAGATGAGGCTTGCCGTTCCCATAAAGATTTGCAGCCTTAAGAACTCTATGCAGGATCACTATAAGTCAGAATCAATGGGATAGCAATGGGTTTGGTTTACAAAGAGTGATAATTCACTTAACTGGCATTCTTTTCTTTCCTGTTTCTGTGGAAATATTCTGTTCCATCTAGTCTCTACCAAATATTCAATGATGAAATACTTGTCATATGGCAAACAGACTATGTAATATAGTTGCTCAATAGAGATAGTAGATTCATTGTTAAATAAATAAATGAACCCAGTGGAAATAATGAGACTATTTTTGTCATTAATAGTATAAACACTTTCTTATATATATGTTGTTAAGTGCCTTCGAGTAGATTCTGACCCATAGCAACCCTATATAGGGTTTCCAAGGAGCAGTTGGTCAGCTCGAACCACCAACCTTTCAGTTTAAATGGCTTTTCATTCTGACACATTAGCCCACAGTGCCACACCAGGACTCCATATATATAGGTTACTATATTTTACAGTTATTGTAAGTCATAGACATTACTGTGCTGTAAAGAGCATATCCTATTCTAAAATTGTTCAAATTTGCTAAGCTGTTTATCATTATATGGGAATGTTTCAGACCCTAAGAACACATATGTGTGTTAGAGTTTCCTACAAGTGAATTTACTCTGTAAGTGAACCAAGAAGAGACTGTTAAGTTCAGGAGCCCTGCATCTAAGTCACTCCTTAAATAGTCAGTCTTCTAGTTCAAATTTTATTAAGTAGTAGTACCTAAAAGAGAAATGTAGCTGAGGATTGCAGATATGGATAGAAGTATTTATTTTTGTACTGATTTCTCTTAAAAAGATTTAGTCTCAGATCTATGGCTAAGAATAACCCTTTTCTTTGATGTACAGATCGTTTTATTAGGTGTAAGAACAGAGTTCTGGTGTGGCACTGTAGGATAAAGCAGTGGACTGTTAACCACAAGGTCAGCAGTTCAGACCTACCAGCTGCTTCTTAGAAGTCGTATTACAGGGTTTCTATGAATCAGAACTGACTTGGCACACTTAAAACAACAACAGTTGCACAGTACTCTGATGCCTTTCCTTGGTATCTCAAAATATAGTACAAATTAGTAAGGAAATGGCAATGCCTTTATCAAAACACCGGTGAAGGATATTATAAGCATTGTTTCTGACCTAACTGTGTTAATAACTTGTCATATATCCAGCATTGAGACTACCAGACCAATGAAGATAAAAGTTCTTCTCTTCACTTTGCTGACTTAATGTAGAGTAAAAACTATTTCAAAACACTTATTTAGTAAAACATCATAAATACAAAAATTTAAACTTCCTAATAAGCATTTTGTTCCACATTTTAGCTAAGGAAATATGCTGTACCTTACTATGAGTTTTCGGGAACACTTAAAAAAAATAGATATGTTCATGTTAAGCTATATTTGTTAATTTGGAGAACAGATTTATTTTAATAATTCAAAGCTATTATGACTGACCTCCCTTTCACTAAGCAGTAATTTTATTTTATTAGTAAATAACCAGTTCCATGACTGTTAATCATAGTTCATTTATACGGAGTACTCATGTGGTGCTGTGGGATAAAGCACTGGACCACAAGGTCGGCTTGAGCTACAAGGTTGTTGGAGGTTCAAACTCACCAGCTGCTCCTCGGAAACCATATACAGGGTTGCTGTGAGTTGGAACTGACTTGATGGCACTCAACAACAACAACAATCTTCATTTCAAAGCCTGGAGAGGAATATTATGAAATAAATATTCACAGCAGTAGCACGTTGGTCTTTAATATTTTAATTATTTTTGTGAATTGATAATTGTATTCCAGTCTTATGAGTTTGTATACTGGAGTAACCTTATTCTCTTAGTCTTTGTGTAGCCATTTAAAATTTCATTAAAGAAAACATTATTGATTTTTGTTTGGAAATGCTTTTCAAAAATATGTAGGATTTTTTTGTATGATTGTATTTTGAGAAAATAAACGTTCAGCTTTTCTCTCTTGGTTATGCCTTTCATAGTCCTTTTACATGCCTGTTAACAGATACGGAAACCAGTGAGATCCAAACATTGTGGTGTGTGCAACCGCTGCATAGCAAAGTTTGATCATCATTGCCCATGGGTGGGTAACTGTGTAGGTAAGTTATGTGATTTCTAAATACATTGTTCATTTAAAGTACGTAAGGTATTTTAGTTAACTAATGAAGTACAATATTAGATACTAGAAAATTCATTCCTGAGCTTTATTGCACCCCATGTCCCCTTCACCCTCATTTATTTTCTAGTTGACCAATAAGCATCTCTATTAAAAGGGGGGAGGGGAGTCATAAAATCAAATGTCTGTAAAGAATTGATGTCCTCTATCAGAGTCCTGGTGTGGTGCTGTGGGTTAATGTGTCAGACTGCAAAGCCATTTGAACTTCAAAGTTGTCAGTTCAAGCTCACCAGCTGCTTCTCGGAAACCCTATACAGGGTCACTATGGGTCGGAACTGACTCGACAGTACTTAACAACAACAACAACAACAACATTGGTTTTTTGGTGCCTAGGACTCCTGTTATGGCACTGTAGGATCAGCACTAGACTGTGAACCAGAAAGTCAGCAGTTCTAACCCACTGGCTATTCCTTGGAAACCCTTTATAGGGTCACTATGAGTTGGAACCAACTCGACTACACTTAACAACAAGAACAGTTTTTCATACTCTGTCCACTAGTTCACAGGGAAGTCAGTAAGAAGAAAGATTATTATATTTTAATTAGACTAATGGTGTGGCAGTGTAGGTTAATGTACTGGACTGCAGTGTCGGTGTGAACCACAAGATCGGCAATTCAAGCTTACCAGCCACTCCTCGGAAACCTTGAACAGGGTTGCTATGGGTCAAAACCGACTCGACAGCACTTAACAACAACAACAAAGGAAATAAGCCAAACATTTTTTTGAAAGTATGCTATGTACAGAAATAGAGAAGAATGAAAGAGAGGAGTTTTCCGTACCTCAGTGTTCAAGAGTAGTATAATCTGACTAGATAGACTAGGTGGGCTGAGAGATGACCCTGGGGGTTTTATGACAGGAGTGGAACATTATAGGGATTGTGTGACCTTGCTGGGAAGAAGCCTTTGAAAAATTGGATTATAAAATTTATAAAAAAGTTAATGTAAAACAGGGTCATTTTGAGCCTGTGACCAAAGAATCAGATTAAAGCTTTAGAATTGTGATTTGGTTCAGAATGAACGTCTTTGCAGTCATCACATCTTTATGTATATTTATAAGCATTATTTTAAGATTTTACTGAAGCTTTTATTTTCTTGAGAACCATGCTATAAAATAATTAATATATGTGTTTGTTATCTAAGTTACACCACACCTTTCAACCTTTCATGGCATACCCCCAACAGGTGTATTACCAGTTGTTTTTTCTTAGCTGAACAAAATTGCTCTGTGTTGTTCTTTAGGTGCAGGCAACCATAGATACTTTATGGGCTACCTATTCTTCTTGCTTTTTATGATCTGCTGGATGATTTATGGTTGTATTTCTTGTGAGTACAATTAGTTTTTTGCCTTTTTAAAACATAAATGTTTGCATAATCTGATTATACTTACCATGTTAGCAAATTATAATAGTGACAAAAGTTTTTTAACTAAAAATTATAGTTTTGGTCACCTTGCTACACTAAAGCACTAAGGAGAATAATACTATAGAACTATTTTCATATTATCAAATTGTGTCCAACATACGGTATAAGCAAACAGAATTATTGGCTATCCTCCCCTTTTTTTAATATGTGTGCACTGAAAATGTGTTGGTTTAATAGGCTTTGAAAAGCTTCTGGGTAAAATACACCAACATTTTTCACATCATATGCTTGCTTTTCTCTACTAGTGTGTATATTATGTGATTGTGCTAGCTCCTTTTTCTTTTACCAGTTAGGAAATGAGTCAAGTATTCACACAACTTGAACTAATTTGAAAAGTAAGATATTATGATTGCAGTGTTGTGCATAGGGTCGCTAAGAGTCAGGCCCAACTTGATGACAACTAAAAACAACGATTTCCAATTAAGAATACTAATAGATATTATACATTGCACTTTTAAGAATAAGTTTTCATTCATTCAACCACATAAGTTTCATACCTTAGAGAAATTATGTTTTTATTGTATTGAGAACACAGTTTAGAAACCTTTTAAATGAACTTATGAGTTACTGTGCTTCAGAGCTTGGTGGCACTTAAACATTGTATTAGATCCTGGTTTAAAAATAAAACCTGGTTTGCGGGCGGTGGGGGTGGGAAGGCTGCTTTCAGAATACTTCTATCCTCACAGATATTGAGAATAAGTCTTTTTTAATGGCACAGAATATAAGAGTTACTTCACATTTTAAGTGCAAATGTGAGATTGCAATAAAATTTCCTTGGTTAATGATGCTAGCATTCTCTTCTGACATTTCATGTACTTTAGAAGTAGACATTACAACCTGTTACTTTCTTACCCTGTGGTACAAAGAGCAGAGATTGAAGAAGGATTACATTGTCTTCTGATCACTGTTAAGGAATTTGTCCATGTGTTTTTCATTGAAGCAGAAGAAATTACTGTAGACTTGGGCATTTCAAAGATAGGTTTGGTATTATACTTTTTCCACTTGTTCTTATGAAAACGTGTTAGTTTTTAGAGAGAATATCTTGATGGAAGAGGCTGGATTGGTCATCCTTGGATATAGCTTGTTTTGGCTTCATTGTCCTTTAGGATAATCTACTCACAATGTATATAGCGGATGCTGGATGCTTCACATTGACTAACAGAAATTAATATTAATAGATCGAGTTAAAGATTGTGACCTAATTTCTGATTTAGCACACCTCTGTGAGAATATGTGTTTGCCAATAACTTTTTTTTCTGGCAGCAACTACCAAAGAACAGGAGTCTTTGTGTTGGAAGAGTGTAAAAACGAAAACAAAAAAGTATATATATAAGTAAAATAAACTATGAGGGGACTTTAAAAAGTTTATGAAGAAATTCCGTATCTTTTCATTGCATTTTTCTACAAACTTTTTGAATCCCCTTGTATGTCATTTTATTTTTACATAAAGAAAATGTTCTCTTAAGTTTTGTACATGTGCATTACCAATGAAATATAAACTCTTTAACTTTTTATTGTTAAAACACAGTAAACATTTTAAGATTAGTTACTGCTTTTCCTTTTCTGTCTTTGATGTATTTTTATATCATAATTGAAAATTACAAAGTAAATCAAAACTCTTTGATATATTTTTTAAGTGGTGCCTAGTACGCATTTATACACTAGGTGCTTGAATGATTGAGTATATGTTAGTACTTCTGTTCTGATTTAGACTGGGGACTCCACTGTGAGACCACTTACACCAAGGATGGATTTTGGACATATATTACTCAAATTGCCACTTGCTCACCTTGGATGTTTTGGATGTTTCTAAACAGTGTTTTTCATTTCATGTGGGTGGCTGTATTACTCATGTGTCAGATGTACCAGGTACGTACAAGTACATTATCTGTTCTTTAGTGTGCTAACTGAAGCCTCATAAAAGTTCACTCTTTGCTTAAAAGATGTTAATATACTCTTTTAAACTACTCCAGCTTTTCAAGGATTTGTTTTATCTTTGGGTTTATCTTATTCTCTGTCTCTCACCTCTCCTTCCTTTTCTCATATTAAGAACCTTAAAAATACATTTTTTACTGTATTTTAGGTAAATGTTTATACAGCAAATTTAATTCTCATTTAACAAGTTTTATACATGATAATTCTGTGACATGGGTTAGTTACAGTCTTCACAAATATGTCAACATTCTCATTTCCGTTCTATTTTTTCTAACTTCTCTTCCTCTACTTGCTTTCTCATTGTTGCTTTTAGGTATATGTTGACCATTTGGTCTCATAGCTAATTGTGTAAGGCATCACATTACTCATGAATGATACTGTTAGGTTTTTTTTTTTTAATAAGCTAATCTATTATTTGGCTGAAAGGTGATCTCCAAGAATAGTTTAAGTGCAAAGTGATTGCTTTTAGGCTAGTTGTTGTTGTTAAATGCCGTCGAGTCAGTTCCGACCCATAGTGTCAAGTCGGTTCCAACCCATAGTGACCCATAGATTTCCAAGGAGCAACTGGTGAGCTTGAACTGCCGACTTCGCAGTTCAAACGGCTTTGCAGTTCAAACGGCTTTGCAGTCTGGCGTGTTAACCCACAGCGCCACACCAGGACTCCCATTGGTCTAGTAGGTCTTAACTTTTGTAGGAATTTAAATTTTGTTCTACATTTTTTTCCATTCTATCTGTGCGTTCTCTTGTGTCCCTGGTCCTAATGGTCTGTAGTGGTAGCCGGGCACCATCTAGTTCTAGGTCTTAGGTTAGAAGAGGCAGTGATTTGTGTGAGCTATTAGTCCTCTGGATTCACTTGTTTAAGTCTTTGGTTTCTTTGATTCTCTTTTACTCTGCACAAATAGAGACCAATAGTTTTATCTTGATTGATATTAAGAACTTTGATATTCAGATAGCTTTTTATTTCTGTTGTTCCTGATTCAAATATATCCAGTTAAATAAAATGGTAAGCTTAGATTGGTGATGTCATTAATTTTGTATTTTAATAGTATCATTTTATTATTCATTATTCACAAATACCAATATTTATTTGCTTTTTTTTAAAATTAGGGTTTTTTAAAAGTTCATTCTTAGGAAGGCTTATGGTAAAGTTGTCTCTGTTCATAGTTTGCATGGGCACAGTGCCAAGTAACTTGCTTTTAAATATGTTTCCCATTTAGCTGACTACACATTACACAGTGAAAATGATCTCATGTAAACTAACTTGATGGAAAATCAAAAACATAGACTTCATCATTTTTTTTCCTTCCCAATCTTCTTAAGAATAAATTTTTTAAATACTAACCATTAATAGTGAGTAATGGTTTGCTTTCTTTTACCTATTAGATATCATGTTTAGGTATTACTACAAATGAAAGAATGAATGCCAGAAGATACAAGCACTTTAAAGTCACAACAACATCTATTGAAAGCCCATTCAAGTACGTACTTGTTTTTTATTTTCCCTTGCCATACAAATTTTCTTAATAACTGAACTCAGTAAATATCTAGTGAATCCATCAAAGAAAGTATTTTTTGTAGTTATGGCAATACACTATGAAACGGGCAATATTTCTTTTACTTAGCAATATTTAAAGTAGCTTATAAATCCTGCTTAATTCTAAGACTTCTTCCAGAGGTATCATTGGTCAGATCAGGTTGTTATTGTTAAGTGCCGTTGAATCGGTTCTGACCCATAGCGACCCTGTATTGGGTTTCCAATGAGCAGCTGATGAGCTTGAACCACTGGTCTATTGATAATAAATAAACAAATATGTTTGAGGAGCTTAAAAAAGTTTGTGCTAAAGTTCATTTATCTTTTGTATTCTAATTTTCCATGAATTTTTTAAGTCCTTTTGTGTGTGTATGTGTATATATATATATATATATATATTGTTGTTGTTGTTGTTGTTATGTGCTGTGGGGTTGGTTCCGACTCATAGCGACCCTGTACAGGGTTTTCAAGGCTGTAAATCTTTACGGGAACAGAAAGCCTCATCTTTCTCATGTGGAACAGCTGGTAGTTTCGAACTGCTGACCGTAAGGTTAGCAGCTCGATTCGTAACCACTATGCTACCAGAGCTCCTTATATATATACATATAGTTATTAAGTGCTGTCAGGTTGGTTCCAACTCATAACGACCCTGTATAAGGTTTCCAAAGATCCACTGGTGAGTTTGAACTACCAGCCTTTTGGTTCAAACGGACCAATGTGTATTCTACAGTGCCACACCTGGAGTCTCTATACATAGGAGTCTCTCTCTACATATAGGCATTGTAGGATCAGCATTATATTGTGAACCACAAAGTCAGTTCAAATCCACCAGCTGCTCCTTAGAAAGCCTATACGGGGTTTCTATGAGTCGGAAGCGACTTGACGGCACTTAAGTGTTGCTGTTAAGTGCCGTCAAGTTGATTCCAACCCATAGCAACCCTGTATAGGGTTTCCAAGGAGAAGCTGGTGAGCTTGAACCACTGACCTTGCAGTTCAAATCACTTTGCAGTCTGATGCATTAGCATGCAGCGCCACACCAGGGATAGATGTGTGTGTGTGTGTGTGTGTGTGTGTGTGTGTGTGTATAATTTGCATTCAGTTTGATTCTTACAAAGTATCCTAATTTTATGACATATTTAAAACTTAGTACTGTGGGATAATGTGCTAGACTGCAAGGTTAGCAGTTCAAACCCCCAAGGCACTCTTTGGAAATGGTATATGCAGTCACTGTGGGTCAGAACTAACTCAATGGCGCTTAACAACTTGCTTATCATGCTTTTGCAGTGCTATTAATTCTTGCATACTTCTAGAGAGCAAGCAAACTTTTAAGTTAAATAAAAACAAACATAATAAAACAGTTTGTTTGGTGGCTTTGAGAAGTCTCCCATAGATGTAATTATTACATAAGGCTTAAAATTCACTACTTTTCCAAATGTTACTGTTGTGTGTTAAGTGATTTTGAGTCGGTTGCAACACATAGGGGCCCTATAGAGTGTTTACGAGGCTGTAAATCTTTGCAGGAGCAGAAAGCCTCATCTTACTTTTGTGGTTCAGCTTGTGGGCTCAAACTGCTAACCTTGTGTTTAACATCCAGTGCCTATCCTACAGAACCACTATGCTCCCCCAAATGTTATTAAAGTCCTAAAATTCCAGAAGTGTATTCTTGACATATCTTCTTCTTTTTGTTGTTATTGTTATTCCTAGGTTTGGTACCAAATTATTTCTGTTATTTAAAATGGTCTTTTCTTTCTTTTCTTAATTTTTTGAGGTAGTTATTCTCCTTGCCAAAGAGTGATCTATCTAGAAAAGAAAAAAAAAAATGACACAGGAATGAAAGAAATGCTCATTTGAATAACTTTTAAATATAATTCTTTTTCCCTTTAGATTAGCAAAAGAGGGGAAAAAAGTCAGTGTTGGCAGAGTTGTGGAGAAACATGAGGGCGTTGGTACATAGATGAATAGAACAAAAAGGTATAAACACTGTTCTATACACAGTCCTGCAATAGTGTTAATCTATAGGTAGATGTATGGGTAGACAGCTATGGGAGTGAAAGTGGGCATATAACCACAAATATATATGTAGGTTTGATAGAGGTTAAAGTAAAAATAATTAAAACAAGGTATAAGTTGATGTGTTTCTGGTAAGTAACCTGGGTTTTTAATTTTAGGAAAAAAATATATGACACCAAAATTATATGAATCGATACGTTAAACCATTGTGCTAACCAACTGTGTTTATTTGCTTTGGATTTTCTGTTTTTTAGCCATGGATGTATAAGAAATATTATAGACTTCTTTGAATTTCGATGTTGTGGCCTCTTTCGTCCTGTTATTGTGGACTGGACCAGACAGTATACAATCGAATATGACCAAATATCAGGCTCTGGGTACCAGCTTGTGTAGCACCATCTTTATCTATGAAGCATATTGCTGAGTGGTGCCTGAAAACTGTGTCTGTCCGTGTCTCTCTCACACTCGAATCCACATCCTTTGAACAATAGCATGCTATGTGTAGGGCTAACAATGAATTTTACAGTCTTATTTTTTTTTCCCGACACTTTTATTAACAAAAGTAAACATGGACAGAACACACTGCCACTACTGGAAAGAAGAAAGATCATAAAAAAGGATTTTAATGGTTCATAATGTGGGAATTCACAGTCTGCTCAACTCTTGGTTTAATTCTCATAGTACATTTCATGAAAAAAGAGTGAAATTATTCTGTTAACAGACATGGTATGCTAATTAGAAATGTTCAATTGTAGCTAACTTTAGATTTATGGTCTATGGTTTAAGTTTATGATGCAGTCTATTGCATCTCATTCCAGAAGAGTGATCTTAAATTGATTCAGATTAGTATGTGTACATTTTAGAATGTACATGTAAATACTGTGATAAAAATCATGTGGGTGTATTAGATCTACTGTAACGTGTCTTCAAAGGCACGAGAAAATAATGTTCACAAAAAATGTGCTGACAATATTTTACTTCTCTCAGCTGTTGCCTTGCTGATATATTTCTAGTTCAGTGAAATAATTTGTAGTAACCTTGCTCTGAGGTCTTAATGATCTGATAATAAAGCACTTGCATGAGTAGAATAAAGCACATTATTTTGTTCAAACTTAAAAGCCCTACTAAGTGCATGATACACTTCATAGAATGTATACTAGCAGATACTATACAGTGAGCATAAATTAGAATTTAATTTGGTGTTCAAACAGCCCAATTTTTAAGCGTTGAGATGTATTTTCAAGAAATGGCAAAATTCTCAGTAGTAGATATAAATGGATATCCTTTATAATTCTAAGATATGAAATAAATTATATGCAAAATAATGGAGTGTTGCTAAGACAGAGCATGAGATTCTGCACATAGCACATGCAGATTGAAGAAAAACTAATGGTATATTCTGGTTTTTAAAAATGACCTATCAGAAAGTAGAATTTAATCCCCAAGGTTATTTCAATTTTATTATAAATGACCTATCAGAAAGAATTTAATCCCCAAGGTTATTTCAATTTTATTAATTGTCTTGAAATTTGTTAAGGCTGTCAGAAAAAAAACAATTTGGGGAGTTTTTCCTGTGATGCACTGATCATTTTTCGTAGAAGCATTTCCATACTTAATGGTGAACTACTAGTCACTTGCTTCATAAATATTGTTTACAGAGTGAGACTTGGTTTAGTTCTCATAAGTGCTGTAGCAAACTGTGGTTCGAGCAACCTGTGGGAAACCTGTGAGAGGGAGCAGGGTGGGTGGGTGGGTTGTGGGTAGGGAGGGTGGTCAGACTGATGACAGATCCTAGACCAGTGTAAAGAATGTGTATCTGTATATAAATAATTTATCAAATAGTTTTCTGTTTGTGTCTGTATGTGTTAGTATATTTAAAGCTGCTCATTTCATTTAATCCAACCAAAAAGAAAAGGGAGATAACTAATGAGCTTCTAGTGATGTTCAATATTGCTGTTAATAAGCATTACACCCTGCAAGTTCACTGCATGTCTGATGCTCGGTAAAATTAGTCTTTCCTGTAAAATGCAAACTGCAGGTATTAAAGCAATCTACTGGTATAACTCGCCCCTTGCCTTAGTAAGAGGAGCAGTGAAAATGTATATAGTTGATGTTAAGTATTTCCGAGTACATTTTTAAAAATAGGTGTTTCTTTGACCATTCAGTCAAACATCAAAAAAGATTACCCTTAGTATATGTGAGTGTTTTAATATTTGAAAATTGGCATACGTACTTTATTTTTGAAAAGGGAAGAGATGGGTGTGGGGTGGCAATAGCATTGTGCCATTTTTGTCATAGAATGTGAAAAATTGGTTAATTTTACAAATGTCTCTGCTAGTTTTGACTACTAATTGGGGAAAATTTTAGATAATTTTTAAATTCCAAGTTATTTATACAATGCTAGGATTTTGTTTTAATTTTTGTATTTTGAACCACTTCACATGAAAACTCAGTTGCAATTTTTATCGAATACATTTTTATGAACAGTTGAAGACTGTGCTGGTTTTCTCAGAGTCTCGATAAGAGTGTTACCATTTTCTTTCTTTGTGTACAATATTCTTTTCAGTGCACATGACAAGTCTGTCAGTTAAGTAGGAAAAAAACCTCTAGATGCACAATTACATGGGAAGTACTAGCAATGGGAATCTCATAGTACCATTGAAATCTTTATCTCAGAAATGGTCAGATGATCAGGAGCCAACTCTGCAGTAGTGTACTGTCTGTTTAGTTATATTGTAGGTCCTATATGTGGAACCAGCTTAGCCCACTTTGGAAGGTGTGTGTGAAGGTGACCCATTTGGGAGTAGTTCACATCAGTTTAATTGGATAATTTTAGCAAATAGCAGTTTAGTCTCAACCCCTAAAATGAGTGTCTTCCTTAGAGTTTTTATTCTTCATATTTTTTTGAAATATTAATAAGTGTAAAACTGCATTATTACATCTTAAGCTATGGATATTTTTATTTTATATTTTCTTTATAACTGTGCCAACTATTATTTTACTACTTACCGTGTTACTCTGTGGAAATAAAAACCTGTAAAGTGTTTAATAAATTAGCACTCCGTACATAAATTAAATCTGTCAAAATTTTGTAAAATATTAATCAGAATAAATATTGACTCTTAAGTATGTGCTTGTGTTGTGATTTCACTTCAAATTGAATGGGTTCAGTAATGGAGCCTCTGATAAGAGATTATGTCTGTATTGCATGGTCAGCTAAGAGCCAATTGGCATGAGACCGGAGAAATTGGCAAAAATAAATCATGGCATGTGTATATAATGCTTTTTTTAAAAAAAAAAGTGAAGAATTTTGGATTGTGTGAAATTACTCAGAATCCTTGGTGGTGGTTATGTGCCGTGGAGTCGGTTCCAACTCATAGTGACCCTGTACAGGGTTTCTGAGGCTGTAAATCTTTACGGGAGCAGAAAGCCTCATCTTTCTCCCACGGAACATCTGGTCATTTTGAACTACTGAATTTGCAGTTCGCAGACTGATTCATAACCGCTCCTAGAGCTCCTGAATAAATCTCTTAAGTATTAAATCTAAGTATAGGAAAGTCACTATAGCAAAATTAAACCTATCAAACGTCGATCTCTTTTATTTGAGAAGTTCTGCATGACAAAGCTTTTTTTCAGTTTTTATGATGACGTTTACATGGGAGAACATCAGCTTTACACTCATCCTATCGTATTTGATTTCACTGCAATGATTACAGTCCCCTCCATGCATCATCAAATAACCCCAAAGGGTACACCACACAGGCCTGCCCCCCTCCCCTCCCCTGCCACTAGCACATAGGCTACCAGCACACAGCCCTTCTCCTTCCCTGAGTCCAGTGTCCCCCACCCCAGCTGCTCCATCTGTCCATGTCATCTTCTCTGTCTCCATTCCTGGCATCTCCGTCTCTCTGGGTAGGGTCCCACTCTCAGTTCTTCTCACTTGATGGTCCCAGGGACCTCCGCTCCTGGGCTGCAAAATCAATCACTCTCCTCCTTTTGTCAAAAAACATCTACCTCTATATTTCTTAGCCTCACAGTTCTGATGGCAGTTATTCACTATTCTACCACAAGAGTCTTATCCCCATTTTCTTTTGCCAGCCGGGTCCCAACGGATTGGAAATCATTCAGTGGTGATTCTACCTTCCCCTTCCCTGTCTGGAACTAGGCTCCCTCTTGAAAGCCAGTCACTTCTTGCCTTTATAGGCTCCCCCATTTTGGGTAGCCAGTGTCTATCTTGCCCATCCCTGTCAACCTTGTGTACCGAGGGGGTGGGAGTGATCCTCACTGTAAAGATTTGTTCCCTTTTTTCAGCTACTACATCCATAAGTATAGGTAAAGTTCATCAAATTGTAGCAGGTTACTTTTTTTTTTTGTTCCTCTCCTCTTCTAGTTGAGTTCTGATCATCCAGCCATCGAAGCCGGGTCAAGTGGGTACTATCTGCTGGACACATTTCATATCAGCTGGATGCTTCACTCTCCACTCTAGTCCTCTGTGGCCATGTCACTGACTCTGGTCCAAGGAGTCTGGGTCTTGCCGGACATCCAGATTTCCACCTGGGTCTATTGAATGTGGTCAGGCTTAGCTCTCAACTTCATTGCTGTTTTTCCCTCTCTTCCTTTATTGGTGACCAACGTGGTTACCAGCCAGACCACATGCCTGCTCATGTATTCCCCTTGAGTCACAATCTTGGAAGGGGGTTTGTTCTGAGGGGTCCCGACCACTTTCCTTGATGGTTCCCAGGCAAACAGCTTACTTGCTCTTGCAGTAATCAGTCAGGCTGCCGGTATTGTTTTGGATTTTTCCTGCTGGTCTTTCTTTCACGGAGTATCTTCTGTTCTTCTAGCTACTCCAGGCTGGTCTACTTATCCTTTCCTACCTCAGTCAGTTCTGGATGGGGTTCTGGATTCCACCTATGGTCTTGTACAATGTAAAGGCTCCACAGGAAGCCTCTTTTACTGGGCAACTTCTAGCCCCCTTTAAGGTATTCCAATCAGTTATAGGCTGAAGACAGACTTACAAGCTTTCTGTAGTGATGATTCTGGCTATTCCTTTCTCCCCACCTCAAGTGTCTATTTTACAATGAATGGTAGGCAAGGCAAACCAAGATTCAAAAGACAGCCAAGCACAAAGAAAGCTTTTGATTTGGGAATTAGAAACACAAAAATGAAAGAATCTTTCCCTGTTGTCCACATGATGGTTAAGGTTTGAAATGCCTAGTGGTATTAAGCAAATATTTTAGATTGTACTAATGCCCATTTTGGAGTCCTGGTGTAGTGCTGTAGGATAAGCACTGGAATGCTAACCACGAAGTCAGTGGTTCAGACTTACCAGCCTCTCCTCAGAAACCCTATGAGCTGGAACCAACTCGATGGCATTTAGCAACACAATCCCCTATGATACCTAATTACTTTGATATTGAAGGTAATGCCTCACAGTTGAGCAGAGTTCAAGTACCACTTTTGAACAACTATATAAAATACAGTAAACTCTACCTTGAGGCAGCAGGTTTAATTGCAACTGGAATTAAAAGTTTAATTACTTTATGGAGTCTGGGTGCTGTAAACAGTTAACACCGTCAGTTGTTAACCAAAAGGTTGGCAATATGAGTTGGTTCAGATGTCCCTCAGAAGAATAGTGTGGTGATCTACTTCTGAAAAATCAGCCATTGAAAACTCAGTGGACAAGAGGGAGCCTAGATCCAGAGGGCGCGGAGGAAGGTAGAATCTCCACTGAGTAGTATCCAATTTTTCTGGGTGGGGCTGATGAGATGGGGATAGTACTCGTAGTACAATAGTGAATAATTACTATCAGGACTGACTGAGGGTTGGAAATATAAAGGTAGATGTTTTGTAGCAAAAGGAGAGGAGTGGTTGACTTTACAGTCCAGGAGCGGAGATCCTTGATACCATCAAGGGAGAAGAGCAGAGTGCAGGACCCTATCCAGAAAAATAGAGATGCCAGAGATGGAGGCAGAGACGATGATGTGGGGAGATGGAGCAGCTGGGGACTCTAGATCCAGAGAGGGAGAGGGGCTGTGTGCCAGGGGGCAGGCTTGCAGGGTTTACCCTTCGGTTGGTTGATGATGCATGGAGGGGATTGCAACCATGGCAGTGTAACAATATACAAATGTGAAGCTAATGTTCTCCCATGTAAACTTATCACATAATTCACAATAAAACATCTAAAAACCAGCCCAATGTTTAGCCCACAGGGCCACCATATATATATGTTCATAACAACAAAAAATTTTTCAAAAAACCAAGAAAAACAGTGGAGCAGAGTTCTTTTTCTGATACATACATAGGGTTAGAACGGACTCAATGACAGCTGGGCTTTTTTGTGTGTGAGTACTTTCTCCCTTTCTTAGTCTAGCTGTCTAGCTTCTCCAAGCCTTTGCCTGATTGGTAGATCAGATGTATGGTGTGGAGGTCTGTT